TCACTACACCCATCACTTCCTGAATTAGCTGTTTCACACCCTCTGTTGTTACACACCTTTGCAGTTCCGCTCCTAGGCATATACCCAAGAGAATTGCAAACAGGTTGTCATAGTCTGTTCAGGCTGCTATAACTGAATACCCTAGGCTGGGTGACTTACAAATAGCAGAAACTTTTTTCTCAATTCTGGAGGCTGGAAGTCCAATTTCAAGGCACTGGCAGGTTCAGTGTCTGATGAGAACCCTCTTCCTAGTTCATAGATGGTCATTTTCTCTGTTTTCTCACATGGCAGAAGGGGTGAGTAAGTGCTCTGAGTCCCTTTTATAAGGGCACTAATCCCACTCATGACTGTTCCACCATCATGACCCAATCGCCCCCAATTAGGCTGGGTGACTTACAAATAGCAGAAACTTTTTTTCTCAATTCTGGAGGCTGGAAGTCCAAGTTCAAGGCACTGGTAGTAGGTTCAGTGTCTGATGAGAACCCTCTTCCTGGTTCATAGATGGTCATTTTCTCCGTTTTCTCACATGGCAGAAGGGGTGAGTAAGTGTTCTGAGTCCCTTTTATAAGGGCACTAATCCCGCTCATGACTGTTCCACCGTCATGACCCAATCGCCCCCAACGTCCCCACCTCCCAATGCCATCTCCTTGGGAGTTAGGGTTTTAACATGTGAGTTTTGTGGGGACACAAAACATCCAGTCGCACAGGGACTTGAAAACTTGCACACTAATGATTATAACTGCACTATTCACAGTAGCCAGAAGGTGGAGACAATCCAAATGTCCGTCGGCAGATGAATAGATAAACAAAATGTGCCGTATCCACACAATGGAATATTATCTGGCTATAAGAAGAAGAGAAGCGCTGACACACTACAGTGTGGATGAAGCCTGAAAACATCGTACTGAATGAAAGAAGCCAGACACTGAAGAACAAGTATTATACACTTCCACTCACACGAGGTCCCTAGAATAGGCAGATTCATGGAGACAGAAAATAGAATAGAGGTTGCCAGGGGCTGGGAGAGAGGCATGGAAGTTATTGCTTAGTACAGAGTTTTTGTTTGGAGTGTTAAAAAAGTTTGGAACTAGATAGTGGTGATGGTTGCACTAGATTGCGACTGTGTTCAATGTCACTGAACTGTACATTTAAACAAGTTAAAATGGCAAATGTCACATATTTCTCTGCAATAAATAAAATATTAAGAGAGGAGTGAGCAGTGAGTGGGAACCCAGAGCAGGCTCAGCAGGGAGGGCTCTTCACACGGGACATGTTGGAAGGGCCGAGAAACAGAAGGGGACGAGAAGCAAGTGGAGATCCCCCAGGTTGGAGCCCGCCAGCCCATTCTTGCCGCTGCCACCACCACCATACTCGGGAACTCCTGCTGCTACTTTGGAAAAGGCTGATGGCATTTGGAAGTCCCCTTTGGTTGTTTGTTCTCGCTGGGACTGCTAGTGGGAGCAGAAAAGAGGGTGGCTTCTCTCTCCCTCCTGCCTTCCATTCTGCCTATGCCTCCAAGGATCCTGCTGGAATGGGGAAGGGCTCAGAGCTCCCAGGCCTCTGCATTAGGAAGAAGCCATAGGGGAACAGACTAGAAGGAATGTGTAAGCAGAGAGGAGTCCCGGGCCCCTGTCCCTGGGCTGTGCTGTCAGATGCTCATCCCTCCTGTTCCCTTGCAAGAAACGCAACTGGCTTGCTGTTCAAAGAAACTTAACATGGATGTCAAAGGTGATGCCCAAGGTTAAAATCAGGGTTTCATTTAAAGTCCACACCCTGCACTGTGTAGCCTACACCTCTCCCTGCTTCCATGAAGCCAGCAGTTGGCATGCTGTTCCATCCAAGGCTTCAGCATGGAGCGTTTTCCCCTAGAGAAACTGGCCCCAGAGCAAAGGCTTCCACTTCCTATCACAGAAGGTTCTCAATAAAAAAATACCCATCTATGCCATCGTGCTGAGCACCCTCACCCCGACTTCCTGCCTGTGCACGTGCACATACAGCATTTCATATCTCATTCTCAAATATGGACTCATTGAATCAAAGTCCCAGGGAAGTCAAATAGGGAATGGGAATGAAACTGCTCTTAAAGACATACATGTATGTTTGCATTTATAAAATAAGAATGGGATAGTATGAAAAAAAAGTCTTGGAAATTAGAAAAAATATTATCAAAACAATGAC